AATCCATCCAGACAATATATCTTACACTCTCTTTCCACTCCATGTCGAATTTTTGCGCTCCCCGGTAGGTTGGGCAGCCACAAGAATACCGAGAATAATTGGTGGGTCGAATGAGGCTATTGACAGGTTGAAAAACCAGACTCGACGTGATGCTGAGACAAGATGAAAAGAGGAGGTAAAAGAGGTGTCTGATAATTTACCTCCTCGACTCCATGCCGATCACGTCTCAGGGTCGCGTTTATACCGTGCTCGCGCGCATCGGGGGAACAAATTTATGGATCGATGTGATATGATCTGAAGGGCAATTCTTGAAACCTCGGTCCTTTGAAATTAGCTAGAAGTGTTGAGTTGCTCCATTCTTCCAAATCGTGAATCCAGGTCAAAAAATGTGCAATAAACTCTGTTCAATAGTATTAATTGGATCTCATGAACCGTGAAAGATGTTCCAAGTCTTTGCACAGCTAATGTGATCAGTTGCGCTTGCACGATGAATGCAGATATAACTGCGCAGACTGCACTAAAATCAAATAGCTAGCGAGGACTGAGCTGAGAGAGAGCTTAAACGAACTCCCGCATCCCAAAGCAATTCATTTCCATTAACATGGCGAGAAGAAAGTTAGCGCCACGGCTAGCCGATGTTTCCTGTACCTACCTACCTACCTACCTACCTGGGCATCAAGTTGCTTAAAAGACCAGACATCTGACACCCCTTCAACAAATCACATAGATTCTCACAGCGACAAGCGGAGACTCGGTGATGTCGCCGTAGATGCACTCCTGGCATTAAAATTGGGCAAAATCCTGGAACTGTCACTGAATGTGTCGGCGTGGAGTTTTAAATATTGAATTTTAAAAAAATCGGGGCAGTGTTACGCACCACTGGCGGGGTTTGTAGCTTTGTGAGTGGATGCTTTACTTGGAATTTGGGCCTAGCTACTAGGTTTTGGGAAGAAAAAGGCTCCGTTCATGCCTGTTCACACACAGAGCTCCGCAAGTATGTGTATATGTAGGGGGCACATTTGGCACTCCTCCATGCAGCGAAACAGTTTCTTCAGGTCCCATCATTTCACCCAAAAGAGATAAACAAGTGTATTCGCGTCGTGTCACGTCCGACGCGTGCACAAGTGTGAAATTAGTCTGACAAGCTATATTAGAGGATATAAATTTATTTACCCTTGGAAATGCATTTTTAATAGAGTGTCACATCATAAATAAACTTTCTGCAGTGGTTTGGGGCCGATTGGATGTCTGGTGGTAGGATGGCGCAAGGAATCGAAGCTGAGATGGGTGTGTTTGCATCTCGGCTATGTGCCAAACAAAATGACAGATCACGTGGACTAACTTGGTCGCTTTCAGTCTAAGAGCTTAGAGCCTGTTCGGATGGCAAAAGCAAAAGTGCTTCTCTACTATATAAGGAAATGTGCTTTTATTCCAAAGTCCAGACCTGTGTCACATCATAGCCCATCAATCTCCATCAACCACAGCTTGAAACTCTTGTCGCTGTTGCGGCGATTGCTCCGGGAGACTGCGGACGACGACGGGGGACATTCTTGGAAGACTTACAGCCATTTTCCTTCAGGTAATCTATGGTAGGGGCTATTGAAACCCATTACAAAAGAAAGCAACATTTTTTGCAGCATATAGGGGCAGGTAGGTGGTCAACACAACAAAGCGCCGTGCCGCTGCTCATCCCGACACGATCCCGACACGTCGGCGGCGACGTTGCGGCGACGCGGCGTTGTGGGAGCGCAGCGCGGCAGTTTGCTAATGGGATCTTTTGGACCTCTGATGTGACGGGTCTTGGACTTTGGAATAAAAGCATATTTCCTTATATAGTAGAAAAGCACTTTTGCTTTTGCCATCCGAACAGGCTCTTAGCTTCGGTCGCTCGGTCATATTCGGTCTTCCGATCGACCCTAGAAATAGGGAATGAAGCATATAACATGGTGCGAGCTAGCGAGGGACGAACAAAGCGAGGTGCGGGGATGCAAGACCGCAGTGAGACGGCGCGTGACGGTCTAGATTACTGATTGGATTATAATTACGCCGTCGATAGCTCAATAATGACCACAATGGGCAACAGAAATTAGACGAGAGAAAATATAGGGCACCAGATCTTTCCTGGAGGCCGTTCTCACTGTACGTCCAAATTCAAATAGAAGTGCCAAGATTATTTGCCGTAAGAATGCCAAGGGAATTCCCACGTTACACAAATCGTCATCGGCCAAAATGATGAATTTCTGGTGTAAAAGATTGGAAAAGAACGAGTCTAAAAATAAATTTTTAGGACTCGTAATCATTAGGCTTGGGGTGCCTGTTTGAGCACTCTGCCGAAGGGATTCGTCGTCTATCGCCGCTCGGCATACGTCAGCGGTTCCGTGGATGCCGATTGGGAGTTCGCAGAGTTCGAGATGCCGAAAGGAAGAGCCCGAACTTCCAATCGTTTAAATACAGCAGCGGAAGGAAGGAGGCTTAGACCTCCAATCCAATCTGCTTCCTCGAAATGTCCGCCCCGCAAATGCAATACGGTTCGCCTTCATTGAATGCGCAAATAACCCTGCAGCTGACCGCGGGCACCTCCATCTCCAGTGCGTCTCGGCCAATCAGGCCTGAAAATCTCGAAAATTATCCTCGGGTGCATGACCTACGGGCATCCCGAGTGGTCCGGCAACTGGGTCCTCGCGGAGGAGGAGGCCTCGAAGCACATCAAGGCTGCGTGCGTCATTATGCCCATTCTTTGCTGTTCTTCTTTTTCACTGCGTCGACTCCAGTTATGACTACGGCATCAATGCGTTTGACACGGCTAATGTATGCATGCCATTGGAATGTGGAAGGAATTCGAACTGAAACACACTTGAACTAGGTATACTCTAATGGAATTTCTGAGGAAATCCTTGGGCGCTCGATCAAGAAGCACCGACTGCCGCGCGACGAAATCGTCGTGATGACCAAGCTGTGCGGTGCCGTCTCGCGCAACCCGAAGGAAGCACTATATGGGCGCACAGGATCTGGACAGCAGCGGCTATGCTGAATCAGTACGGGCTGAGCCGCAAGGTATTTATTTGCTTGGTCCGCGAATTTCTGTGCACTGACGCCCTGTGGAACTTACTTAGCATATCTTCGACTCTGTGAAGCACAGCCTGCGGCGCCTGGACCTCGAGTATATCGATCTGCTGCAGTGTGAGTTTATTCTCCAGTGTTATTTGGCTCTTTCACTCATCGGACTAGGCCATCGATTTGACCCCAATACGCCGATTTCGGAAACGGCGCGTCCATTTCCCATTTTTACGCGCCGATTTCAAGAACTCAACTCATATCTCAATAGATGCAAGCCCTCCACGACGTCGTCAAGGCCGGATACGTTCGCTACATCGGGATGTCCTCTTGTTATGCCTATCAATGTGAGTGCAATGTTATTATTGAGCGGAGGTGCGTTCGCCGATACTGATCATTGCGTGTCTACTCGCCCAGTCCACGCTATGCAGAGTATGATTTATATTATTCTGTGTGGGCTCTAATGCCGACCGAATTTAGACTACGCTATCAACAACGGCTTGACGCCCTTCATATCCATGCAGAACCAGTACTCGCTCGTCTACCGCGAAGAGGAGCGGGAGATGATGCCGTTGTTGGACGTGGGTCTAGAGACGATTATATTGTTCCTCATAGCTGATTGGCATAATAAACAGATGTTTGGTGTCGGTTCCATCCCATGGTCGCCGCTTGCCCGTGGCGCGCTTTCGCGTCCCCTCGCGAAGCAGACGGATACGAGCCGCGGGAGCTCCGACGTGTGCGTCCATGTCCTCGCAGAGCTCCAGCCCTGACTCACGGAATACATTCCCAGGCTGCCGTCCACCTTCTATGTCTCTTCTGACGCGAACAAGGAGGTGGTGAGAAGGCGAGAATCTCAATAGCCATGTAATGCGCCGCTGCTGATACTTACTTACTCATAGGAGTCGAACAAGTCGCGGTGAAACGCGGCATCAGCATGGCGCAGGTTTCCGTCGCGTGGGTTTTGTCTAAGAAAAGTCGGTATTTTTATCTTTATTTTTCTGGTTCGTTGCGCATTGGCACTCACAACGGAACCAGCTGTCTCCGCACCGATTGTCGGCACCTCCTCGCTTGAGAATCTCAAGGATATAGTTGGCGAGTTCTTCCTAAACTTTTTTTCGAGAAACCTGGACGAGTCTGAGATATTTATTTCTCTTTCAGGCGCAATTGATGTAAAACTCACCGAGGAAGAGATCAAGCTCTTGGAGGAGCCTTACCAGCCCATGTCGATCTTTGGGCATTAGATGAGGCGTTGTCCGGTACATACAAAGTCGGCTGCAGTTTGGATTGAACGGGAACCTGTGGAAGGCTTGCAACGTGTATCTGTTATGGATACCGAATCTAGAGACTCAATTTACTTATTTTGATGTTCCCTCATACATATATCAGTAACGACAAACCATGACTGGTGTTTCTAACTGGAATCAACCACGAACGAACCAACGGCAATTCTCGTGAGCTACATCAATCAAGTATTGATGCAGGCCACGACTTGATCCCACGGGTGCGAGCGCGAGTCAACGGTTCCCGCTAGGAGTCATTTCGACTCCTATATGACTCCTACAATGACTCAAGTACTTAGATAGTATATATAACACTGTACTTCCATGATTGGAAGGGTACTCTTCTTACTCAATACCATCTTGTTACCCACTAACCTTGTGAATCTAAGTCCTCGCTGCAACGTTCTAACACTTGCTCCGAAGCCTTACCAATACCCGAATTGACGCGACTGCTCAACGAAGGTGTTTTTCTCGGCCCCGTGGTTCAACGTATTAATTTACTTGAACAGCGTTCTCCCATCATCTCTTTCCAAAGTGATATTCACTGGTAAGAAGTTAAAGTTAAGAACTATAGCTCCAGCCGAATATAACGCTGATCTACAACGTATCACCCAGTTCAATTTGACCTCAAGTGTTTGGTGAAGTTGTTTAGGTCTGAAATGCAATGACCTGGTGGTGTAGTGGTTAACATACCTACATAGTGTAAGACTAACCATGTTGATATGCGGGAGATCTCTGTTCAATTCAGGGCTGAGCCATTCTTTTTTCGTTCCATCAGATTCGTTTTGATCCAGCCAAGTGTGGGTGTGAAGCCATTTAGATTAAAAAAGAATAGGGTCTTGTAATGTAATGGGTAACATGCCTGCATATTGTGGACCCCAGCAAAAATGGTTTACGGGAGCTCCCTGTTCAACTAACGAAGTGTGGGTTGAAGTTCATCTGGTTTGGGGATAAAATATGCCCTAGTGGTGTAGTGGGTGACTTCCCGTAAGATAAATATATTCTAGGCTCGAGTCCAGCCTGTTTGTGTCTATCGACAGAATTCATAGACAGACGGTCACCGGTCTAGGAGGAGGGTCATGCATTGATAGGAGAAAGACAGCGCCTTCGGTGGTAGGTGAGCGAGAAGTTTGCAAGGTGTCGATCCCGTGCTGGGCCAGTGTTAAGCTGGGGGCGAATATATAGCTCGGAGAGCAAAAGAAGCACATGTACA